CAACCGTACACTAATATTTTAAGGGATAGCACTTATTTAGTAAATAGGCAAATAATTGTTTAAGAGCCTTCCTACAGTATTTACGAATAGGAATAGGGTATCCTTATTTTTTAAACAAAAAATTTAACAAATATACAATTCAAAATAGAAGGTAACCCGAATTCGAAAATATTTCTGAATTGGGGATTTTTAAAATACTTTAAAAATTTGATACCCATATCAAATCATTATCTGTAAACTTTATCAAAAATCAAAACATTACCTGTATTTCCTCAAAATCGTTGGAGCCGCTTCCGAAAAATCTATGGATATAGGTATGGCATGTTTTACAATTTAAAGAAGTAATTCAAAATCTACGTTTTGGGAGATTTTGTAATACAAATAATAAGCAGACGACTAAAATTCCAAAAATGGCGAAGATATGTGCCTTTCCATCATCTGTCTTTTGGTATACCAGCTGTATGAATTGATCAAACATTGATTGCGTTTTCCCACAGAATTGAAATTTTTAAATAATTCTCTATATCGTCACCTGAAATAAATAACGTAACATTACGTCACTGAAATGTAAAAAGTCGTAACTTATAAGAAATTCAAAGTTCACGTTTTGATTGCTATAATGGATTTCATCAAATTACAACTCCTCACATCGTTTTATGAAAAATATAAAATCAACCACTTTTTCCACTGAAATAGTGGCCACGACGTTACGTTATTTTGCATTTCAGGTGACGATATTATTAAACATGCGATATATGTATTTATAAGATATGTATTTACATTTCGATCATTTACGTCAATAGGTACAGTCATAAAAACCAAAAACATACATACATATCGATACCCGAGGGGAAGATCGACCTATCTCGGCAGCCAGTTCTCGGAAAACTTTTCAAGAACGCCCTACTTCAGAATTCTCAGCACATTTTCAATGCAATTTTAGCTTATAAAGGGCGTTTTTGAACCGAATTCTGAGATAAGGCATTCTTCAACAAAATTCAACAAAAATTGTTTTTCAATCAAATTCTGAAATAGCGCATTCTGTTTCCTAAGATAGGGCGTTTTCGAACTGGCTGCCGAGATAGGTCGATCTTCCACTCAGGTGACGATATACTCCCAGCAAAAGGTTGAAAGATCTTTGCTCGGAGTGCATATACTTTCTAAAGTTTTTAAGGTTTGGCTATCAAATCATGATACATATAATTGCTAGTGGAAATGTGTTCCACAGGACAACACTAGTTTTGGAGCGACAAATGTTAAAGCTATTGTTGACACTTTCTTTCAATCAGCCCCAGATTTTGGGAAACATGTGGTCCAAGTGTCAATATTGGATACGCTCCAGTAAAGAAACAAAAGGTGATAGAACATTTCACTTACTACCGTCGGATTACAGTATTTACGCTACAACTCTTACAACGAAATCGCAGAACAGGCTTTACATTAACTTGCCTATGCTCCCGGGACACTGTACATTAAGACGAAATCTGCATGAGTTAGGAATGTGGTCAAATAACCTCCTTCGCTTTTACGACTTGAATAAGGAGACACAACTGAATGAGTAGCAAGAGAACAAAAATATATCGTCTCTGCCTCCAAAATTTGTATAGTTTTTCTCTGGATTGTAGGACAGAGCGAGGTGTATAAATGAGCGGAGGGTACAATAGATCTTAGGGTCACTGTGCACACCGCTATCTATATATCTAGGATCATAACTCAAAGCTCATCTTTTAAGCAAAAATATGTGTATGTTAAAATTTGTTTATTGCTACTTTTTCTTTGCTTCATACTTTGTTAGGCATTATGTAATAGAGAACGATATATCAGACCATGAGAGCAGAAGTGACCCAATCCAATATATATATTTTTTTTTCTGTAAACTTCTTAAAATAGTTCCAAATGTAATAAATTTTAAAATAAAGGTCGCTTTATCGTTATTTTGATGGTGCGCTATGTAGCTTTGTACCTTAAAATTAACAAACAAGCGACTTTTAATTTAAAATTTATCACATTTGAAATTATTTTAAGTAGGTAAGTACAATTTAAGCCACTTCTGCTCGTATGGCCCATATGTAACTAGAAATATAAAATTATAACATAGATATAATAAAACCGAGTGTCACGAAGCAACATAGAATGCGTAAGCTCTTACAGTCATTTTATAAATTTCCGTTAAGGCTGCTCATAACTGAGCAATTGTTTTCGACCTGAGCATCCTGCGCCACACAGTACGATATCAGCGTAAATTAAATGCTCTCTACTGCTTACCAAAGTCTTTATATTATCCAGTGTAGCCATAACAGCACGCTCAAAAATTACATTGTCAAAGCACACCTTTCCACAAGCGCAAAGTGGCGATTCTGCCAGAATATCAGTCAACAACCACGGTATGGTGGCTGCTGAGTAAGGCAGTTTGTATTGGCAAACTGCGCGCGCTGCCAAAAGCCATAATGATGGCGTACTGTGTTTATTGTTCTCTTCACTTAAATGATGTTCCACCTTCATTCCAAATTTATTACCCCACACATCTAGTACGACAATGCGCATGTGATTGAAATCAGAGGGCAGGGAAGTAAGCAGATTCGAAGCGATGTATAAGTTGCGCAGATTGCGTAGGCGCCGAAAACCGAATGGCACCCGAGGAATTTTATTGTTACTCATCTTCAGCCCCACCAGCTGCTCTAGTCGGATCAGGTCAAGTGGGAAGTAACTCATTTCATTAGCCGATAAATCTAATTCACGCAGCGATTTGCGAATCTGTTTGCCGCGTAACCACTCCCAATCGTTTGCTGTACCTAGCTGATTGTTGTTGACTGTAAAGCAGACCAATGAAAGTCGGCCCATCTCCCGTGGTACCTGGGTGATTAATGGTTACATTTTACATGAGAGTTACATACATATGTATATAAATTCTTCCTAATACTTACTCTGGAAATTTGATTATCACTTAAATCAAGCACAGTTAAATTTCGTAGGGAGCAAATATCGAAACTGATTTTCAATAATTGTATGTTGGAAATTTTTAACGACTTCAAGGAGCGCGGGAACCCCTTCACAGGATAATCCCCACGTCGCAGTACTGTCATTTTTTCTTGTGGCTTCGAACGTTGTGGTATGGCGGTAGCAGCCGCAATGTTCAGTCTTAAATTTATGGAATCTTTACCCTCCAAGCCCAGCTTGATTGTTTGCAGGAAGCCCTTCAACTGTATTGGATCACAGTTAATCATAAGATTTAATGGTGGTTCTTTGAAGCTTATGGTGACTTTGCCGTCACGCAGGAACTTCGAGAATATCTTCTCAACATTATTGGTCACTTTGAAACGTTCGCCCGCTTGATTTTGTGGTGTAAAGAGCATAATTTCCAAATGTTTGGTGATATTGCCGTCGGCATCCTTGGCGGAATTGTTATAGCCCACTGCCAGTGTCGATTTAACATAGCGTGGCGTGCGGTTACGCTGCGTCTGTCGATCTTGTACCACGGTTTCACAAAGGATTTTCATGTTAGAATTGAATTTACATTGGAAATTGTTTATTATAAATTAATTAGCATTTTTAGCGAAACTCCGATATTTTAGATGAAACTTATTTACATACGTTTGTTGTCCAAATGTCACTCAATATTTACATTGGCTCTCAAATTGTGGTGTTGCAAGAAACCCAAAATGCACTGCCTGAATCGGTTAGGGACATTGTTGCCATTTTACTCTATTTGTACCGAAGTGGATACTTTTTTCCATGAATTTTGTGTCGATACTTTTTTTGTGTTCAGTTCAAATTCAGAAGCCTTTCTAAACATAAATATATTACATATAAATATGTCTATCTTTCCGTAAATTTGTCTTCAATAAATTAGCGACAAAGATAAATATTAATTGCAGACAGTATTGAAGGTTTTGGGGTGGAATTAGTAAAACAAAATAATGTATTGAACAAAACTCTATATAATCAATTAATTTCATTTATCTTCAGTTGGTTTCGTTTGGCACATAGCTCCGCTGCTGGTGCTGGTACGACATACAATAATACGACAGTATACAACACCTTGTGAACTCCCTAATTATGTTTTCTAAATGTACTAAATAGTGGCCTTTAAAAGCCAGTTTTTTCAGAGCACGGCCGTGGTTTAAACTAAGCTTAAACGTCCGATCTCGCTGGTTTAAACTAAGATCAGCCAATTAAATGTCAGCCAGCTGTTCAATTTAAACTCAATTTACTTAATCTAAGTTTAAACTGGTACTGATAACTGGTCTTAAATGTGATTTTTTAAGAATAATACGAATTACACATGTAAATGCGAGATCTAAATTGAATGTTTAAAATAAGCTAAAAAAATGTATTTGTATTAAATGTATCACAAAAAAGTGGATAGTTTTGTATACTCTTTAGGCTACTATTTGGATACTTTTCTTTGGGAGGCTGTGGCAACACTGGTTAGGGACCAAAATGCACCCGGAATCGGAAGAACTGTACACAAACAATCATTTGAAATAGAAATATTGAAATATTCAAAATGAAACTGGTTTTTTAATTTTGTAACGTATAACGCTTTATGCATCTGAAAATTCAAAACTAAAACCCAAGAAAATACTTTTGTTGTACGATTTTCAGGGAAACTTTCCTATAAGGACGTTAGTTAAAGGGGCGTGGCACCTCTCACCCCCTTTTTAAAGAGGTTATGAACCGCCGTTTAAAAGAATGTGACCCCCCAAAGCATAGGGCCCCTAGGGAGCCCTTAGAAAAATGGCGGTCAGGAGCTGCACTTTTGTGAATGGCGGTTCATACTCTCTATAAAATGGTGGTAGGAGGTGCCACGATCCCTCCCCCTTAGCCCATGGCCATATAGGAAATGTAAAGTTCCGAGCTCCATGTAAAAAACCATGTACGTTTTATTAATTTACTAAGAAATATTTCCATATCCGCTCAGTCGGAGGTATTACATTTAGTTCCAATATTTCTTTCCATACAAATGCTATGCATGCCTTCGGCCAAATTAAAATCCTGCTAATTGAGTTGACAAAAATCTATTTTCCGAAATTTATTTAACTACAACATAAATAATACAATTTGTTATAGTAAATTTATGTTCTCATACGCGTGTTTATATGTAAGTATGTACATACATAGAGCACTATCGCAACTTGAAATTCTGCAACTCCAAGAAATGCACATATGTAGCTTTGTTTATATTTAAATCTCAATTTTAAATTGTGTATATAAGTATGTAAATACATATATGCGATTCGCTTATGCGTCTGTTTCCTCTTCAAAACAATTTATTGTGCGTTGAAAACAACATGCACTGAGCATTGGTATTATTTATTGTTTTCGAGAATTATTCTATCAACAAAATATAAGTACGTACCAGCATTCTTCAACATTTCGGTGTTTCACAACCCAAAATAAACTTATTCCAAAATATTACGTACAAGCGTTTGCAGTTAGTATGTATTGTGCCTTATGAGTTTAAACAGATATAAATGCTTAATTTAGCTACCAGTGCACACCTTCTCAGTGTTAATAGCAAATCAAATATTGACAATAAATAAAAACGACACGAAGGAGATCGAGTAGTACAGTAGTAAGTAGGGAGCAAACAAGGAAAACTTTCAGGCAGCGATAGGCATTTATGTAAATAGCGCTTCGACATGAAGTAATTTTCGTTGATAAATATATACCACCCTTCTTTATATCCGGATACCGGACTGAAGTTGCAAAGATCACAATACCGCTTTATCTTGTACACTTTCGTTTTTTCCAGATCACTTCCGAACCCCAATGGAACAGCTCCTAATCTTCTTTTCTATGTTGTTGTAAGTCGAACCCATCACAACTTGCAGAGGCAGAAAAGCAAAGGTATGAATGCTCCAATCGCTATGAAAACCGGCAGCATAACTGATGAATCATCCATGGAATAAGGATTCGGTTGTCTCGGACCACTAACTTTCCGCGTTGTTGGCACAGATTCAACTTCGATATCCTTCTCTTCGTCTTCGTCCAGCGTGGCATCATTCACCGGTGAGGAAGCAGCATTTCTAATCCGCTGTTGATGCTCTTGTGTTTGTTCAGCAGCTCCTTCGCTGCTACCACTATCAGCAGAGATGCGATCATTGAAAACTGCCATGTCGGCATCCATTGGGAGAATATCATCAGATGTTGGCGGCAAGCGTGGTATATTCGCCACGTCACCTTTGAGCAGGGCAAAGGCATTAATTTTAGGATTATCGTAAGGGCCCTTAATAAAATCTAAACGAACGACACCATTGCGGATATCGGACTGTTCATCTTTGTAGAAGAGGCGATCGTTGGATACCCTAAAATGAACGTATTCTTCGTGAGCAGTCCCACGGCCGACTTGATGAAAAATATCAAGCTCCTTTACAACTGCATGCTTGTTGTTTAAAATCACGTCGAATACCTGCAATTATATTTAAATCGATAAATTAAACTGGGCATTAGAATTGTTCGAAACGAATGCAAATACCTATAAATGCAGTAAGTGAACCACCCCTCTGATGGTAATTCAGTTTTTCGTGCCAGTGTGTTTTACGTTGCTAATATGGCATTTATGTACATACATACATACATACGTATACATGTGCTTTGAAAAATGCTAATTTTATAAAAAATATTCTATGAGTAAACAATATCTGTTATCTGGACTTTTTTAATTGGCTAAAACAGCAAATATTCTTTCGAAGAAACTCTATTTACTAACGATACAGAATTCTCTTAAGTTAGCTAAAACGTGTGTATACATATTTGTGTGTACATTATTTAAATATGTACATATGAATATAAAATCTATTTAGCACTATAATTCGAATCGTTTTAAATTTTGATTCGATTAACGTTCCGGCTCATTATCTCCCATATTCAAGATAATTACTCCTCTAGAAATTTGATAATGAATCTTACATAAATACATACACATATATATGTATATTAAGTTATTAAACGCAGTGGGCGTTTCCAATAATTTCCATTACCAAAAAGTGTATTGAAATTACAGATAATGCCTATCGGTACCCTTAATTATAAAAGCTGTTCGTCTATCAACAGATAGAAGCGCTCACCTTTTTATTCGGCTCATTAAAATAGACCTCGCAGAACTTCATTATCAGCGCATACTCGCCATCGCCGTCTATCGGTAATGTATAACCGAAGGTTGCCGTGTGATAGCGCTCCGTGCGATAGAGTACCTCGTCTTGTTCCGCCACGCGTCCTATCAATAGTAGATGATTACCATAATCGGATGCCGTACCAATGCGTCCATGTAATGGATCAGCACTATAATGTATGCCATGTTTGTCAGTATGTTCCTGGCCGCCAGCATTCACCGCATAGATGACCTTGAGGTTTCCCAGTACGCTGCTGGGATAAAAACAGGTCAACAGCAAACACACAACCAACAACATAAGCGGCGACTTGTGATTGTTATTAGACCACATTTTGTGAATAAACCGCTATAAATAAATTGCAGCGTTCGATTCGGGACACGCTCACGTCCGGAATGGCACCGTGTTTTTGCTGACGTTGGTTAAAAGTACCGACTACTCTAGATCTTTTTCGTCACTTCTCGAAATGTTTCGTCAACAGATTTAGGCGTCCCCCCTCGGTGTTTCCACAGGCTTTTCTGTGAGAAATGAACAGAAAATGAGGAAAATATATAGTACTTTCTTTCTGAGCTATACAATCGTGTATAAAGTTTTGTCAACGAAAAAAAAATCAATTATCCACGCAGCAAACAGCTGTTTGTAATCAGAACTGGTGATAATTCGGAGTAATCGGCATATCGATTAAACTGGGTAACGAATTAATCGCAAAAGTTTGAGAAGCTCTGTATACATTTTTGACTGCTTCAATCAGTGTTGCCCGAAGTCAATTAGCTTCAAAAAAGATATTTTTCATAAATAATCAGAAATATATTCACATGCAGATAATTATAACATAATTAAAACTCCATACCAAAGAACATGAATCTATAAGAAGAGACAACACGTTATAGTTGTAGCGAGTGTGAACATCAGAGCGTGTCTTTTCTTTTCATCCAATCAAGAAACATATTTGGGCAAAGGAGAAGGCGCGCTCCTGATGTTAACACTCGCAGTGAAAATATTTGCCAGCGCTTGAAGACTGGTTTTTTTGGATGGTTGGCAAAAAACTTTTCGTTTTTGTCATCAATTTTCCGTGCACGACAGGTAGACATTAATATTGAATTTTATGAATGTGTTTTTTAATAGATTTTGCCTGTGAAAATTCGCGCTCAAACTTGGCTATGTGCAGCTCACACTCGGCTTTATGACTTTCCCTAAGATAAAAAGTATGGATCACTATTTGTTAAAACATAAGGGTAAGTCATTTTGGGCCAAATTAAAATTTCCATAATTAACTTCATAAAAACATTATCATCATTATCCAATAGCGAACCTTATGGATTTTCAACAAAAATTTTCTGGCCACACTGGATTCAACACGTGCAGTCAAGTTGCTAGTGGCATTTGGAAATTGTCCGATAATTACCTATATATTTAGTAAAACATTTAAGTTGAATAAAATAGGAATATTGCTAAACTGGCGTTGAAAATTTTTGCTAACGCTGTGAGGTTTTTAAGGCAATGGTTTGCATTCAAAAAGCTGCACAGCTAAACACCAAAAAAAGAAAGCAGCACAGTCCAACCACCAATACGGAATCAGAAAGGCGTGCGTCCATTGATAACTCAGTCGTGACAACGCGGGAGTGCTATTCCAAACCTTTTGACATAGAAAAGTTACCTAATATGGATTTTGAAGAACTTGACGATAAACTTAAGCTTCAATTTTTGGCCGGCGCCAATCTTGTAAAGCACGCACCACTTTTTGCTCCTGGTGGCGAGTAAGTTGTACACAATGTCTTTAAGTGTCTTCGATCGCTACTGATTTTCTATATTATAGGTTTCTATTTATACGATACAAGGACGTAGTGCGTGTATATTCCACAGCAACAGGCCAGTTGGCACGTCAGCTTACAGGTGCTGGCGCCATTCTTATTTCGATGGAATTAGAATTGCAAGATAACGAAACCCTCGTTGCATGTACAAATAATGGAAAAGTATGTCGTTGGCATTGGCAAACTGGGCGACTTCAACAGGCGCATGATTTGAAAATGGATCCAAATCAAAAAGTGTTGACTTTTAATTTGCTTAATTTTTATGCCAACTCAAAAACGGCTTGTGCTCTTGTAACATTCCGTGACGATAATGAGGAGGAAGTAAAATGGTTTGTAGCGGACACAAGTAGCGCGGAGCGTTTAAATGTGCCTTGCCAATTGAATCTGCTGTAAGTTTTTTATACGGTTTTATATATTCGTCATTACATTTATTTGATTTAAATGCCTGTTTTAATGTAGGAACAATGATCCGCTTGTGGCGGTGGACACGAAAATGTTCAAGTTCATCGCAATAGTGCAAGGCAGCTACGTATACTTTCTTAATTACAAAACATGGGTATGGAAGAGGTTAGTTAGTATCTGTAAATTGTACATATTTGTTGAATACATTTTTGCATCACTAATTGTTATTTTTATTTACAGGTTATTCAATGCACATCGTGTTCCTATCACTGTTGTACGAACACATCCACAAGAAGAGGCGGTAATCACTGGAGATGAAACTGGTAAAATTTTTCTGTGGCGTGAATTCATGAGCACAGCCTCAGTGAAAACGGTGGGTAATGAACATCTATTGTAAATATTCTTTATATACATACTCATTTCCTTTGCATGAGTACCCCTTTTTATTTTAACTAATCAGATATAAGAATGCCCTGATACTTTATGCTTTGAAAAGAAGGTGTTGGAAGCTTTTTGATTATTAACAAAGAACTAGGCGAATTCATGATAGAAAAAGTCCCGAGACTGCGATAAAATTAAATTTAGTCAATACTTCGGTAAAAACCAGAAAAAGATTTTGTTTTTGTTATAGAGTCGTGTTAATATATGTATGTATGTACGTATGTTTAAAGTAAATCAATTTTTGTTTTACTTAGCCCTTTTGCACCAAAAAGAAAAACTTACACTTAGTACATTAAGGTCACTTTGATAGGAAGAGTACAGAAAAGGCGCTAATATGTAAACTAAAATCTATTTCGATAAATAGGATTTCAGTTATTTATATATATGTATAAACAAACATATGTAAAAAAATCGGAAAGGGAAATAATGATTTCTTTTCGATTTATCAAAGATTTCTCCACTATTCAAATTAATCTAACTGCCTAACCAGAATGATGAGGCTGTAGTATGTAGCAAGAGCTGTTAAAAGTTAAAATATCCTATATGCTCTAAACTTCCCACAATATGTAGCTGTGCTCATGGCGTATTATTGCTTATGTAGCTAGAGAAATAGCTTGTGGCTGTGGCACTACATTCTGTTTAGCCAGTAAAAGCATAAGCTACATGTTCATAAAGTAACAATTATTTGCATAATGTTTGACAGACACTCTATCACTGGCATCATACCTCTGTGACCAGCATAGCTTTCACACCAACCGGTACTGGATTCTACAGCAGTGGTAATGAATCGGTGCTTGTGCATTGGAATATCAAGCGTCCAGATTTGCGTAATTTTTTGCCGCGCATGGGCTCCGTAATTTGCCAGCTGTGCGTCAATGATGATAATTCACAAGTTGCAGTTCTCACTGCTGATAATGCTGTCCAGTTCGTTGGCACCGACAACAAAGTAATTAGAACCTTGCAGGAATTCACCTACATTGAAGACGATAAAACGGGTAATAGCAAATTCCCAGTGGGCTTGCGTTTGAATCCTCGCACAAACACGCTAGTGCTAAATGGCAAGCATGGTCATTTACAATTCTACTCTGTTTACACCAAGAATATGTTGTATAATGTAAGTACTAGCATTCTCTAAACTAAACTCTAAAGGATGGTTTTTCAAAAAAACGTTTATGCGCTTATATAGATGGACATTGTGATGCAAAATCAGCTTTCAATGGAGAGTGATAAGGTTCTTTATAACATAGCTGTGACAAAGGCAGCATTTAACATCGACTGGATGGCCACTGGCGAGGTATTCAACGATCGCGAACATTTGCCTGAGTTACGTTTGAAATTCTGGAATTATGATGAGGCTGCAAAAACGTGAGTCCAACTAAATAATTGATAGACTAAAAGTAAAAAACTAGACTACGAAAGCGAAACTTACCCACATTCACATTTTGATCGTTTCGGACAGCAGAATTTAACATATTAAGGGCCAGATTTTCAGTGTACGGCCGTGGTTTAAACTAAGTTTGAACGCCCGATCTGTCTGGTTTAAACTAACATCAGCCAATCAAATGTTAAATGTTCAATTTAAACTCAGTTTACTTAATCTAAGTCTTGATTTAAGGCCATGCTAATTGGCTAATTAGTAGTTTGAGTTTCAAGCTTTGAAATTAATGAATTGAACTTGACGATAATGAGTAACAGTTAATCCTCTTCTTAATCTTAACCTCAACCTCCTTTGCATCCTTACTGTCACATTTTATCGTGAGAATACGATAAGAAGTTTCACTTTAATAAATTAATATACATATTAAATTTTCTAGTTACTCACTTAACACAAATGTGGAGCTTCCGCATGAAGGTGGCTTTAAAGCCATTGAATTCTCAAATCCAAGCCAAGTAGACAATCTGCTGTGCGCCACTGTAGGCGAAGATAATATCATAAAGATGTGGTCGCTCGAGGAGTCGGATAATATATATAAAAAAGGGAAAGTTTGGTATTGCATAGCGGAAACAAGCTACAGCGGTTTGCCGATAGAATCTATCTCATTCTCGCAAGATGGCTCTGTACTGGCTGCTGGTTATGGCAACACGCTGTGCATTTATAGGGCAGAAAATTTGAAACTTAGAGCAGCGCTAACACCACCTACTGGCTTTGATGGTGTGGTCCCATACGTGCACATCAGTTTGCGACGGAAAGGTGTAGAGTCACCGTTAAAAGATGAGTTCACGCCAGAAAAACGAAAATGGTGGCTGAAACTATTTAACAACTTTGTAGAAAAGAACGATGAAACTATTGTTAAGGAGCTGGACAAGTTAGCTAAGCGGTGTGAAAAAATCGATTTTAAGCCCGAAGAAGTAGCTGCAGAAGAAATCGATGAGGAGACAAAAAAGGAGCTGTATAACAAAATAATGGATATGCATCAGCTTAATTTCTTTCATAAAGTGCTGTTATTCCAACGCCTCGGTATACGCATAAACGTGCATCCTGAGGGGCGTGAGCGCATACTCTCCTACTTGTACGACACAATGTTACCAGAAGGTCAGAGGGAGCGCCTGCGCGAAATGCAAGAGGAAGTGAAGCATCTTACCGTGAGACATCGCTACCGAGCGAAATGGCGTTTACACGAATCTGAGAAAAGGCTTAATCGATATGAAGCGGCTGTGCAAGAAAAACTATTGCCCCTTATGGAGGTGCTCGATCTCTGTGATGAAAGTTCGAAAACAGCGCTTGCAAACGGAAATAAAACGAATAACGGCTCCGCATCAGCATCTGAGGCGACTAGAACAAAAGTGGGTGTCGGAAAGTCAGACGAAGCGGATGCGGTCGAACAAATTACGCTGCATAACCCAGTAATTGCGCAGATCTCGAAGGTGCAATTTGCGGCTGGAGAATGGGCTCATTTGGTAATGGAACTACCCGCGCATACAATATATGCATGTATCTTAATTATTTATCTGTTTGCTTTATAGGTCATCGTCTGCACAGAAAGACGTGTTCTGATCTACAATTTACTTACGCTAAGATTACATGCTGCATGCAAGCTGTCCGTCGAGCATTTGGCATTCGATCCCATAAGCAATTTAGTGGCTGTCTTCACCAAGTATAATGAATGTAATACAAAAAGCAGTTATTTTAAATATTGATATATATATTAAAAAATAAATATTTTTGTTACCCATCATAGTGTACGTATTCCAGCCAAATGTACCGCTGTCCATTTATCGACGTCGCGATATGCCACCCTTGCTGGGCGCCGCGTGGCTGCCCCGACGACATCCCAAAAACCGTTCGTTGAATGTTGACTGGCAGGCGGTATCTACGTTGTACTTTTTAACAGATCAGCAGGTGAATATTATTAATTATGAAAACAATAATCCAATTGCAATTCATACTTATAAAAAAACTTAATTTTTAGGAAATCTACTACTTGGGCGTGCCAGATAGTGCGGACGATGATGCGCCGCCCCCAATTACCTTCAGCAGTTCGGCTAATCAAGCAATGCAGTATAGTACCTTCGGCACTTTTGCCACCCAACAGCACTCAGATATGAAAAGCAGCACACGGCAGTCGATTGGACCGCTGGTAATCGGTAATTCGCACAAAATGGCTGTGAAATCGGTGAGTGAATGCTTTATTTTTTTTTGCTAAAGTTAAGGCTTGATGAAGGTTATTTTTATATTAAGATTATGGTTGACTTCATAAGTTCGATATTTTAAAATATTTAGGCCCATTCGTCGCTCGAATCGAAAAGGTTGAGTAGTATTTTTTAAATATTGAGGCGTATTATTGTTCTCGTAAAAATCGAAAATTGAAACTTTTGTATGGAAAATGATGGGAAAATTTCATGATTTTCGATTCGAAACAAGCTTACGCCCAAATTAGTATTTTTTTTTTTTAATTTTTTCTTTTTTTCGATTTTTTCTAATCGGAAATCCGTGTTAATGTGACCTCAACTTTGTGATTCGGCAACTGTAGTAGGTTAAACTCCTGTCTACCGAGACTAGACCCGATGTACAGACTAGACCCCGATGTGAAAACATGCATGTTTTTGTTTTTGTAACAGCAAACATTTTTTCCTTAGATTTTTAGGTAATCAGCTGGATCGACAACCCTTGGCCAAATATAGATCTAGGTAGTTCCGATTATGTAAACCCGACTGTCATGTTTCTGCAAAGAGTTTTCGAGGAATATAAATATGCCCCAATGTATGTACAAGAACGACTTCTCAGTAATTCCTGTAAATCTGATGGGTACTGGAACAGACTAAAGAAAGCAATGAGTGGCATCTCTCTTTGAAAATGTCACATAGCTAAAACTCAAAATTGTCCAGACTTCGCTGCCATGCCCTGTCATGCGCTGCGTATGATAATCACTTGTATGCAAAGCTCATCAAACAGATTCGATATGTGGCTGCAGCACAATGCTCGTATAACCAGCGCTTAAAGCATCTATGACGCATTGTTTACTTTGTTTCCTTATATCCGAAAAGTTTCTTAAGAGTTGATATATTATTAGCAAATGTACAATCTTGAGGTTTAAGAGGTAAAATAGAATTCGCATAACTTTGATAGATCCTCTGCTTGCGTTGCGAAAACCGGCTTATAGCGTTCATAATAAGACCCAAAGGTTTGATTGTTGTCTGGGTCATATTCAAAATTTACCATAAAATCGGCAAGCATTTAACCTTAAATGCTGTTGCATCTTGAGTAAGAATGGCTTGATCCGCAATCTGTGCGGGTTAACCTTGAATAATACAGATTCTGCGGTTGTTGCATCAAATTCTTTTCTTCTTGGTGTTGTTTCAAAGTCTGTTGATTTTGCACTTGCAATGCTGCCAACAATGCCTTGAATTATGAGTGATCCATTTTGATGAGTTCTAAATTATTCTCGTCGCCAATGTAGTAAAACGTAATTATTTAATTAATAACGCAGATTTGCAAAGATAAATGTGTATTCAATTGTAAACGAAATAAAAGGAATTTTTTTCAATCAGGATAATAATTTGACAAAAAGTGCAATGTTTTTTAGGAATTTAGAATTCATCGCAAGTAAATAATCAACATTCGAACACTACTTACGTAGATACTACCATAGTTTAGAGTAAATATTGAACACTTAAATTTCTTTTATTTCATCTTTATTAAAGCTTAAAAAAGAAATACAAAAAAGTGGTCATAAAAAAGTACAAATAACATTCATCTACATACATACGAATGTTTGAAGTACATTAGGCATTGGCTTATGTTTTACGTGTACATATAAAAGTATGTGCATACCTCTGCACATAAATATTAATTTTTTATTTTAGATTTTATTAATGGTTTTTTAGATTTTAAATTAATCAGCATTAAGCGCTGCTACATACATACACACATGTAAATTGTCATAAAATGAAGGACTGCACACACACACATACATACATATATGTATATGCATATAGAAATTTCTCTAAGCTAATGTTCTTGAAATTTAACAAATATGATTTTTACTTTTTTTCCTCGTATTTGCTAAGAGTTATCGCTTTCACATTAATATATGTATGTATAGGAAAGTTCCTGAAAACAAAACATTTCCGTATGTGCGGCTACATACATATGCATATATGTACATATGTACATATGTATCTGCAACTTTATACAAAATTTGAACATTATTAAATGCATATACTTTGTCGACTTTCCGCGTTTTCGATTATATGCATATACTCACATACATACAAACACAATATTATATATGTAGGAGATAATCAGTCATTGGGTGCATGTTGTCATGTGAATGTATGCTTGTACCCCTACATATGTACATACACATGTATAAAATAACGACCAAAAAATTGTTTGCTAGTTGCTGCTGCTACCATTACTGCTACTTAAATCATTTGACGTCTCTTCCGCAAGTCAAAACAACCGCCTGCCTCCTCCTCCCCCTCCCCCATTGCCTCTTCATTCAATTCATTCAGTTAATCAGTTCGCAACGAAACCAATCCAAGGTGGTGGAGGCCAGGGTCTCCCCAGCACCGGCACTCATTTGACATTGCCCGAGCGTGGCGCCGTTGGCACATGCAAATGTCGGCAACGACGCATCATCAACAAATCGTGTTTAAAGTATCGCAAACAATGCCATTGCGGAATTTTCGAAAGTTGTTGCTGCAAAAAAGTAAAAAAGAAACAAAAATTAAAATAAAATAAAATCGCGCACACATCACAGAATGAGAATTAATTTAATTCAATTAGAATATTTTTCGCTTTTCTATTTTGCTCAACATATTCTCAACAAGTGGAGATGTTCCGCTTGCAGCCGAGTGCAGCTGCACTCAGGTTTCATTAGAATATTCTTAAAATGGAGAAGAAAAGCTAGTAAATGGGGAACAAGAATGGAAAGCACCATCCGAGCTACATATATAAGGACATATGTACATGTGTATGTATGTATGTAAGTGATTCACGTCATGTGAAAGCCCTGCTTTTTTATTTGGTTAGGAGTAATGGGCTTAGTACTCGTACTCGCATTTGTCGACACCAATTTAAAATGCGTGTGCCATTATTCATACTATTACAATATGACAACAACAACAATAGCAATCACTACAACTTCATATCCACGCCTTCTGCTCGGCTATTCCACTAAATTGCTAAACCAATCTACAGAAATATATATTTTTTTTTACATATATTAAATTATTGAAATTGGCCTGTTTTTTTCTATGTTTTTCGTCACGTATCGTACTATTTACTGCCCCAGTCTTTTTTTTTTAATGTTTACTGCGCAATCTTTGGGCGTATGACCGCTGCATTCTTGCCTACATACATACATATGTATGTAATATATACATACTGGTGTTGCTATTTTTAGTCACATACCTTAAATTGCTTAATCTTGTAAATTTGTAAATTTTATATAGGCAAATATAAGATTTTATTGTTAGTCACTTTATTTTCCCTTCATATATGTACCTACATACCATATCTTTCAAAAATAGCTTAGAATTGTCCTCTATTTATCAATTTATTCGCAGTTCATTTTATTATGAATGTTTGTTGTTTGTTGCTTGTTTAACACGTTGCTTAAAGCAGTTTTGTGAAAGTAATAATTTATGGGCATATTGGACATGCTTGACCTTGATTTGATAACATCTATGAATAGATTTTTATACTGAGTATGTATGTATGTGTACTGGTGGCAGAAATAATAGACTCGCCTTATTTTGACCAGTTGCACTAACAAATTTAATATAAACAAAAATAAATTTAAAAATGTAACTCCTTAAACCTCTTAAGAATTTAATTATCATTAAATTATTGAAATTCCATCAAGTATTGTAGGCTGTAGACCTTTTTGAAAAGTACACTTCGAATTCTTTATAATAAAGTTACTCTGGAAGGCATATTGTTCCACTGGCTAGCATACTTAGCAGCTCAGCTTGCAAGGCATTAAATTGATTACGTGGGCGCTGGTTGTGGTTTGGTTTACTGAGATTTCACCGGAAGGAATTACACTGACACCTTTTGATTCGATCTTCTCTGCAATTTCCGTGGGGAACTTTTCTAAAAAAAAATAAAGTGGGGTGACATAATTTTTATGGACCCGGACAAATAGCGTTCGATGTGTGTAGTTAAATTGCAGCTAGCCTAGAGTTTCGAGAAGGAAGTCTAGCGCGGTGGCTGGTTGTTGCACTCTTTCCTTTTTGTTATTGAATAAATAGCACGTACCTTTGCATCCCAACTCTTGACGGTTACCGGGCCAGGAGGTCTAGGGGTCCGGTATAAAATGACTACTGAGCTTCAACTTGCTTTTGAGTATGGAGAAATAATGTATCTCATTGGCAAATAGAAGCAAAAAGTGCAATCAACTATCAGCAAGCTGCTTAGAAACAGAATTTAGAAAAGACGTCGCACACCCGATAAAGTGATGCCCGGGAGGGTTGCTCTGCCACTTCTCCTGTGTAGCTAAGTGGGGGACGAACTTATTAAAATCATTTCTGACAATCGTATTCGCTGCCTGAATGAAATTGTTACATTTGCCAGATGGAAGCTCTACAGTACCCTCTGCGGTATAATACAAAGTCGATTTTAATACAAATCCGCCAGGCATATATATATTTACACATGTAGCTCTTTGTGAGATCGTGGACAATGCCGTCACCGAGGTGAAGTTTACGTGCAATGATATCAGGCACTTATGGGACGGTTCTTGAGACACAAAAAAAGAACTCCAGCCAGCATTTCATTTATGCACAATGACAACACTGCTTTCGCAAAGGAAATGTATCTTAAACTAATAACACCGGCACACAAAAAGTGGTGTGTGTTTTTCCCAGACCCCCCTACCAAATCTGAGGTCCATTTGACTCGTACACCCCCAAAATTTCGAGTAAATTGCGAAAATTGCGAACTTTTCGCCACTTTTTTCGTTTTTACTCAAAATTTAGGAGGTGTACGAGTCAAACGGACCTCAGACCGGATTTCGTGGGTCGAAATATATGGCGATAGGTGTGTCTGGTTAAAAGCACGCACCACTTTTCTTTGTATGCCGGTGTAATTATATTTTAGCTCTTACAATTTTGCTAAGTTCTTGGCCGAGCTTCTCCTCCAAATTGTGGCGTGCGCCATCTTGTTATAACACAAATGCAGGGACCCACAACTTTTTGGCGCTTCCGAATAGCAAATGGTTTTAATGAGAAGCTTTTCTAAGGCAGAAAATGTGGTCCTACTGGTTATTTTCCCTAAAAATGACAATGGTAGTATTGCCAGCTTCTAATTAACATACATAAGGAGAAACTAAGATTATTAACATAGCTATCCTTACAGGACACTGCAGATTGCATATGCTAATGCATATATGTATACATATGTACATATAAGTATACTTTGGTCAAATGATCTCTATTGCTTTGAGAGAAACTCAGCCAAAGGTACACCAGTGCACCTATTCTTTGAGTGTGGACCGTTTCAAGAAGACGTGAGAAATGGTGTAGGTTTACTGTGGGAAAAATGAGGCCATACACTCCCCAAACTCAAGAGTTCTTCTAAGCATTGTATAGACTTTAGGATGAGACGAATGTCGTAAAGAGTGTACTTGTACTTCTTCTTCTTATCTATCTTTGACTAATTGTTTTTCCGGCAAGCGATTTTTACATTTCGATTTATAAACTATTTCAGGCGCTAAAATTATATTAGTTTCTGTTCTAATTATTACTTCTATTTGAACGTTATTATGCTGATTACACACGGAACAACCGTTGAAGCAACGTGTTGAGGCAACCTGATTTTCTTGTTCAATACACACGAGGCAACTACAATGAGGCAATCATTACGGAAACCTCAGTAGTGTGTGCTCTTTGTTTCCTACTAAATACCTGTTTATCTCAGTTAACTAATCAATGAACTAAGCCAATAAAATTAAAATTAAATTACGAAATCTCTATCCTAACGATTTATTTTCGTTATACTGCAAGCCTCTTTAGGCTTAATACAATATTTCCGTTATCCTCTAAGCGCTCTTACCTCGTCCACTTTTGGCAGCGGGCCACACTGGCTGGCTGTCATTAGGGTAAAAAGCAGCAGTGCAACAATGGCAAAACTGTGGAACACTTTCGGCAACATTTCCCCGCTAAATATTTGCAGTTATTTATGATTTATTATGTTTGTTTTGCGCTTTGAATTTCGCTGGTGGCTGCAAATGTATGTTCGTGTGCTTGTATGTATTTAATCCTTTTAGTGCTGAGTTTGCACACCAAAAAAAAAATCACTCTGCTTTCAACTATGTGTGTGCATGAAAATAATATTTACTTTAAGCGAGTTTTTAAACTTTACAAACAGTTCTTTGTTCACTAATGTGATTGCGCGTTCTGCTCTTTTTTCGTTTTTTTTTTGCAATACTTTCTTCCGCTTGGCGTTTAATGCTTTCCCTATTTTGCTTTTTGATTCAAATTTTTCTATATAGTTTTGTGTTTACTTCTGTTCGCCAATTTTTTTATTTTTCGGCACTAAACACCGTTGTATGTATGTATTTTTACTTGTTTACTTTTGCTTCAACAATTTTCTTTCTCGTGCATGCCGCATACGCCACGTTGTACCGCCGCCGCGTTTAGACTTTTCTGTGTTCTGAGCGCGAATGACAAATTCAAATTATCGGACATTCTGCTGCATGCGTCCCAATTTATATGCGAGCACCGATGTTCGCATTGTTTGCACGACCAGTGCGACTACATACAACGAGCACGACAGCAGAGATAACTGCCACAGTCGTAGTGACAGCCACAGCCACAACCGCAGCCGCAGTCAGAGCCAGAGCCAGAGCCACTGCTTCTTCCTCTGCCCCTCCGTCGTTGGCCACTGGTATCTGCTTTAGTCTGTGGCGAGGAGGTTGAGGTGCAGTTAGTAATATCGCACCCGCAGCTACAACGTATGCGCTGTGTTGCATAGTGGCTGAGCTAAGTTGCATAGTGGCGCTGATGGCTGTGTCTGCAATCTTTCTTTCTCTTTCTTCTCCTTATTGTTTATCTGCAGCATTTTTTATTTCCTCTTTGCCATTGTTTACAACTTTTTCGCACGTCCCGTCATCAATGCGCTTTTTTATTTAATCTTTTGTTTTGCTTTTGCTGTGCTGTAAAATATTTTTTTTCCACTTGTTTATCACACTTTTATGCTCCACTTGCATGTCCAGTGTATTTGTGTTGGCATATTTGTTGTTGCAGTATATATTTATTTATTTGATTCTGTTATTTACTTCGTCGCTTTGCCGGCGGCAGCACGCTGCCCAGCTGCGGTGATTGTTTTCTTCCTCCTTTTTTATGCGATAATGCAATAAAGAGCAGCATATTTTGTTGCCTTCCGTAAATTTTTTGCAATATTTTGCAATATTAACAGGCAGCGTAAATAGGAGAGACGAAAGAATTTACTTTTGGTAACTGTTTTCAAGCATAACACTAATCTGACCTTTTTGCATCGTTTGATTATGTTTCCCGTAGAAAACTTGGCGTAAATTTTGTTCTGTCCTAGCGGGAAACTAGCATCGCTCAAAAACTTCTCGGAATCGAGCTATAAATTATTGAAAAGTCTTTCCTCCTCCGGCATTTTCCGTTAGATGACAACCTATTCATTCCCATCAATTCATCGTCTTTCTAACTCTTCTGGTTATCCGGAATATCCACTGAGCGACAGCGAAGCCGGCAGCGAAGAGCTGGTTCAAAATTTGGAATCTCAGTAACCACACGCATCGAGTTTGTCTATTACTTCGGTAAAAGACTTCTCGGCATTGTTTATAGGGCCCCATCGAAAATACTGTGAGAAGGACTGAAACCTTTCAAGAGCCAAATGAACACAGTGAGGGTTTAGTTCGGGAAGATCCACCGCATCAAATCTTGAAATAGTGACTTGATATGCAAATCGGCATTTGCCACCTTGCATTCGATTTCAAAACCGCCTTTGGCAGCACGCAATAAATCTGTTTGCATGCGGCTTAATGCCACAACTTTTAGCTCCGTTTAAATTTCTAAGCGCCGTTCAGGGCCAAACAAGGGTTTACACCGCGCTACCCAATTTCGCGTCGTTCTTCGATGTAATGAAGTTTGTCACTTACAGCTCCATACAAATTTAAGCGCAGATACGTATGCATTTCAAAAAACTACGCCTAGTACCTCATCTAAACCTAAGTTCCGGAGAAAGTTCAACAGTACCTTTGGTGCTAGGGAGTGAATGTGCATAAGCTCTGGCCACATCGAGCCTAAACTTCTCTCACGTCTGCTGCAGACTGCATCACACTCGGTGAGGATGTGTAGAGGTGTATCGCTGGTTAGGATTATGATTTGGAGGCGTAATACCAGTAGGCAATCTGACATTTTACAACTTAGAGAAGGACACAAAAAACGATAATCGAGGAAAAGACAAAGTACTTCGTGGCAATATACCAAAGGTCTGCGCATATTGGTAAACCCGTCACTGTTGGCAGTTATAGCTTTGAAGTAGTGAAGGACTTTGTCTACCTGGGATTCAGTGTAAATACAGCGGCTCTACCTGCGATATCGACAGGTGCTATGTCAAGCATGGCGTTAAGGGCCAGAGTGGGAATACTTTAAGCCGAACCCAAAACCCTTCGACGATTTCCTCCTTTGCAAAGTTGATCTAGTTGTATTCAAGGTTGCCTTTGCTTTCCACTCTTGGGTGTCAATATATCTTCTTCGGTGCCCGTCGCCCATGAAAAATTGCCCTTATAAAATTAGGGTAATAATTTAAGATTTGATTTTCAATTGCATACTAAGCCCAAAATAATAAATCTAAGAGTTATTTTTTGCTTCGTCGCTGGGCTGATATCACTGGTTGAGGAAAGTGTGGCAGTCAGACTTAGGGGCATTGGTTGCCTGACTCACTCGGAGTCTTGACACTCTAGCGTTTTCGGAAGCTTCGTTTTCATCCCTGATAACTTGGATCAGTGCGTGTCTAGCCCGGCACCAGCTAGCTTTTACACGGTTGGGACGGAAGATTGGGTGGAAGAGTCTTTTCTAGGGAGCTCTCTGTCAACCTAAAATTTAGGCTTCCTCAGGCGAAAGTTGCTGCTATCAAGGAAGCAGCCGATTGGCTGCTGTTGGACGCTCTGACTGTAAGAAAGGTTAAAATCTCCTCAGACAGCCAAGCGGCAATCAGAGCCTTAGACTCACTTACGATACGCTCGAAGTTTGTTGAGAAATGCCTTCACCTGCTTTCAATGGCACGGCATGATATCGCAGGGAACTGTGCGGCTCATGAACTGGCCAGAGACGGTGCCCTTTAGGCAATATCGCCAAGAGAAGAAAGACTGGGAGCTCCTTTGACTACTTGTGGATGTTTCATTCTAGTCGAGGGTGGACTGGGGCGGTCTAAGGATCTCCTTAGGCTCGCGAAGCCGGATCTCTCAATTATTGTAGGTATACTGACTGGCCACTGTCCTATCAGGTTTCACGCGGTGAGATTAAGTATCTTAACGGACTCCTTGTGTCGCAGCTGGATGGAGAACCCTAACCTAACCTAACCTAACTGAGGTTGCCGCAGCATTTGCCCCATTTGTATTCAGCCTAAAATTTCTGCACACCTTTCCTAGTTTTGTGTTACAAGTACAACAAATTTTTGGCTGAGTTTATTTTTGGTCGCTGGCATGTTACTGATCACTTTATTCCAACTTTAACTGCCGCTAGCAGCGCATGATACGATGCCGGTTGTTGCGGCAGTAGGTTCACATTTTGCGCGCCTAATTGTTGCAATTATTTGCATACAATAAAACCGCCTCAGCAGCTCAATGCTGTGGATATAAATAACTTAGTACGTGTATGCGTTGTGTTGTTTTTTTTTGCGCTCGCCAAGCGTCCATCTTCTGCGAAATTAGCACTCATTACATTATTTATTATTTGATATTTCTACTTCTTGTTCTTCTTCTCGTTGTAATTGCAATTCCAACTAACTATTTGAATGCTGCAGTCCATGACTTGGTTGCGTTGCGTTGCGTTGCGCTTGTGCTTAATTATTTATATAGCAGGTCAAACGCATTTTATGACTGTCATTTCATTTTCGTTTTAATATCAATAAAGATGGGTATTACTCATTTGGCTGTGGCTGTGGCTGCTGTGTGGGGGGGTGCCACCCACCTCGCATGTGTCGGAAGAGTGTCTTTAACTTTAGTGACTAAAGTTAAACTGGTCGGAGAGAATAGTTGGGGGGTTGGGGTGGTTAAGTGGATAGTCAATTTGGAAAATTAATTAATGCACTTAAGTCAGTCACTTACATACATACATACATATGAACACACGAACATATCGCCAGTAGCGCATATTCGAGTTGCTCCGTTTATTGTTACCGTTTCGTACTTGAATTGGGGCACTTTTAGGGAAATTAGTAATCCACTTTCCACGAAATACTCGGCATTTACTCATGTGTAGACTACACACCCAGCAGCTAACTCAAGGCGTTGTGTCATTCACCGACATTCAAGCTGGTTGACACCGACGTCGACGTCGACGTCAACGTCATATCAGTCGTCATGTTGTTGGGTTAGCGCGCATTCCGCTCGCCTTGTAGCAGCTTCCGCAAGCAACTTCACGTTTCGTCTAGTTTTAACCAGCTTCTTACCTACAAACATACTTACATACTCACATTCGAATGGCTGTGTTTTCCTCAAAGCGTGCGCTGAGTTGTTTTTCAGCAAAATCTTTCTCCTGAATCATTATCGCTTTGCGGCGAGTTTGCTATCGCTTTGCATTACAACAAGCTTGCTGCGAATGAATGTAATAATTCATGTAAAAAATTAAATATATTAAATAAAAATTTTGCGCTCGCGTGCATTGCTTACTTCTTAATGGCTTTAGATCTTTCCACTTTGCATTAATAATTTTTGGTTTTAAATATTTATTTTTGGGACATCAATAAATTTTTAAAAACTATAAAGTCCACTATTTTTCATAGTTATGCTAAAATAAGTGTGTAATCAATTATTTGGAGTGGCTTATCAGACACTATGGCCTCGCAAACTTCGACCCTTTCGCAAATGTGGCTGCCAAATCTCCTTGCACGCGTACTTATTTTCGTGCTCATATAAGTATGTATTTATGCTTGTGAAAGTGTAGTTTATAATTTATAAATTTCATAATTTATAGCCTGACCAAAAACAGCTGGTCTGTCACTTTCAAAACAAATTTAATTAGCTGATTAAAGTATTTTTAAAATTATCTATCACCGAATTTATACACATACATACATACATGTGTACATATGCATGTGTATGCATGTATTTATTTATTGTATGAAAAAAAAGAGATCACAAAGTTCGCTCAAGGTGCAAACAATTTCTAATATATTTTCTTCTTTTTTTTTTTGAAGCACCATAAATTTTCGAATGGCGCGAAGGTAGCAGACTTATACCTGGATTTTAATTTTATTTTGATGCAGTTTACTTTTATTTGACACGTAGATCATGGATCCACAGTCTGGCCCCTAAATTTCATATGGGAATATTCCGCCATCTTGGATTTTATGTTTTTTTTTTGCGATTTGCAAGCTGATTTAGTAGTTTTCGTAAAAAATTAGCAAATACAAATTTGTAGAGAATTTAATTTCCAACTTTTTATATATATACAGTGACGGGCAAAACTGTAACATGGTTTAACACTTTTTACTTCAGCCATCGCTATCTTTCCAAGTTCTAACGACTTTCATACTTTTGTTGTATATTCTTGTTGGTACATCCTAAT